CTTAATCCAATAGAAAACCTGTGAGGTGACATCAAAAATGCAGTTTCTGAGGCAAAACCAAGAAATAGAGAACTGTGGAATGTAGTCCAATCATCCTGGGCTGGAATACCTGTTCACAGGTGCCAGAAGTTGGTTGACTCCATGCAACACAGATGTACAGCAGTTCTCAGAAACAGTGCTTATACAACTAAATATTAATTAAGTGATTCAAAGGAAAGCAAAATCTTCAAACATTTTTCAGTTTATATAGTGAATGTTTGAGTTTGTAAAGAAGAATACAAACACTGCTATTTTTTTGAACAGTCTAATATTCACTTTTCTTAAATTTTTTTTAGAGGAACAACACAAATTTGATATATTTTTCTTCATGTTTTGATTTGGAATAGAATGTGTAGTGTTCCCAATGCATTTGTGTGTATGGAAATAAAAGCCATTAGAAGGATTTTGAGCTTTATTCACTTTTTTCGACACACTGCTAATATTTTGAACACAACTGTATGCTCAGTAAAGTGGCTGAGAATAAAGTAGTGCCAGATGTGACAGACGTGTACCAGATGAAGGGGAAAAAATGCACTATGTTTAGCTGGTCGGCAACTCCAGCTCAATGGCTGCAACACATTGTTTAAAGTATTGCAGCCCAAGCCACTCTGTAGCCTAGGGCTAGGAATGCTAACCCCCCCCCGGCCATATTTAAAGGGTGCAAGTCCTTCACATATTACAGCAGATGTCTTCTCACTCTAGGCAAAATGTAGGTTATGAGATTTGTTCTCCATAGTGGGCATACCTCAGAGCAGGTCTTCGGAGACATTGTTCCTCCACCTGCAGTCCACGGCCCTGGAGCTGTATCGTATCCTGATGAATAACATAAATGATGCACTATGTGCCAAAGCGATTGCTTAGGCAGGATCCTGTGCCCAAAAAAACATTATAGGCTGGCCCAGCATCTTAATCCAGGCAGGGTCTGGGTACAGTCCTCTGAGGCTTGGCTGAGAAGTCAACTGATCTGTAAGCTGCAGTCATGGTATTGCTAGGAATCTTAAAGAAAAAGCCCTCCATAGGAAAAAGGTAATCTTCTCTCAATACAGAGAAGAGGTCCATCATCTAGGGATACTTAAAAAAAAAAAACCCCATGATAACGGGAGGGTTTTTTTTTTTTGCAGTTTCTAGCCACCTGAAGATAGCTGCACATAACCCAAGGTTAAAGGCTAAAGATCCAGTGTCCTGCACTATATGACTAAGAAAAGTATTTGCACACTTTTGACTTTAAATACAAGGGACTTGTAAGCATGTTGATTGTAGCTCTTTTAGGTGAGATCTTACATCTGCTTTAAATTGGGAAATTAGCAGCTTCCTGACCGCCCTATAACAGAAATACTACTACAGGACGGCAGGGCTGTGCAAAATCACAAACAAATTTTTGTATTTCCGGGTAGGGGGCACGCATGACCTACTCACGGCGCCAATGGCTGCTACATCTGTCGATCACTGGGTCCCGGCTGGTGATTCCCCGCTGGACCCTGGTGATCTCTAAGGAACACTGGCAGGGGAAAGGTCTGTATGTAAACAATACAGATCTCTCCTGTCAGCTGCAGCATGCTGCTTTGTATTGCTCTGCATAGCAGATAATTCAAAGCAGCGTGCTCACATAGTAAAACACACAGTTAACCGTTTGATAGGCCCAGATGTTAACCCTTTCCTGCCCAGTGTCATTAGTAAAGTGTGAGTGCTTTTTGTTACCACTGATCACTTTATTAGTGTCACTGGGGATGTCAGTGACAGTCAGTTCCCCCCCCAATGTCAGAATGCCCGCCACAGTCCTGCTATAAGTTGCTGATCACCGCCATTACTAGTATAAAAAAAAAAAAAATTCTAGTATATATACCGCCATTTGTAGATGCTATAACTTTCACGTAAACCAATAATTTACACGTATTGGGATTTATTTTTAGCAAAGACATGTAGAAAAATATATTTTGGCCTAAATTTTTTATGAAATTTGATTTTTAAATTGTTTTTTTTACTGAATATGTTTTATAGCAAAAAGTAAAAATAGTTTTTTTTTTTTTCAAAATTGTTGGTCTTTTTTTGTTTATAGCACAAAAAAAATGCACAGGTGAACAAATACCACCAAAAGAAAGCTCCATTTGTGCGACAAAAGGACATAAATTTCATTTGGGTGCAGTGTTGCATGGATGCACAATTGTCAATTAAAGTAACGCAGCGCCGTATCGCAAATAATGGCCTGGTCAGGAAAGGGGATAAATCCTTTGGAGGACAAGTGGTTAAAGTTAGTATTGTAATAATATGAATTGTGAACGTTCAGGAATATTTAGACAGCAGTGAAAACATTATGGTAACAGTTGAGATTCAAAAAGATACTGAACAGGGGACCTAGAAAAACTATAAATGAAAAGAAACCACAAAACTTTAACCCACTCAGAGAAACACCCATAATAAAGCAACAGCAACTAAATGGGAAGCTTTTCAAATGGGTCATTTTTAAATATATATAGTGGAACTGGCACCATACATATGGGAACTAGGGAAAGTGAAAACAATAAGTATAATAGGCAAGTGTTAGATACGATTTGCCTTTCAAATGAATGCAATATATGAGTTGCTACAGTACAAGCTGGTGCATGTACCTTCTTTTACTAACTTATGGAATATATACAGTGTCTTAACTTAAAATTCTACGCTGTCACTACTTGAAGGTTGTCCCTGAAGTGTAGGTCTTCATAGCCAATCATGTTTCTGTGTCACTGCACATTGTGCAGCTGGGTGTGTATCACTACTGACAAATAGAATAGCAACTACAGCCAGGGAGAAGAGTCAATAAAGATGCACCTACCAAGATAGTAACTAGATGACCTAGAAGTTTGGCTAGAAATGGCCAAATAAATCTCAGGGACCAAACATCTGTCATTTTCCACCACCAATTCTTACCCCTCATCTCTACCATTAACACTGCTGAGCACCAACCATTCCCCTTTTATTCTAATTTCTCCCACAGTTAAATAAAAAAAAAAATCCTACGTGATCCACTAAAGCAATTGGATATACCCTGGACCAACAATCTACGGTGTTGGTACATATAACAGTATACTAACATCCATTTACATCTTGACAGTTTCTTGCACTTTGCCACACCAAAGCACCTATTTATTTTTGCATATGCATGTAGCACTGTACTCGCTCCACGGTATAGGTCTTCAGACTCGCCCTGAAAGTTGTGAGGGGGAGAACATGTGGCCTCATGGTCAGGTCCTCAACAAGTCTGCCAAAGAATGAGGTTCGCCTGAATTAAACATGAGTACCTTGTCCATGTCAGGAGTTTTGCCTCCTCAGGGTTCAGAGCTAAGGTCCTCCCTCTTTGGAGAAGCACTTTGTGTTACACTCTGTGCATGTTAGTTTGTATGTGCACTGGGAAGAAAAGAAAAAAAGCAGTATTGGACTATGAGGGCCTTCTCTTTCCCTTTGGTTTCCACGAGGTATTAGGATGTACTAAGTGTATGACTGGAAGGATGAAAGCAAAGTAAGAAGGAAAGAAAATCCACCACCAGATAAAGTGACTTCATTGTGCAAGCAAAGGGTCCATCAAATCTGGTGAATGTGGTTTCAAAAGGGGGGTCACTGAAGAGCACCTTAAAAAGAACCTGCCATCTTTTTGAAGAGCACCAGTCCCTTTTCATGTCAATTTGAGCACTGAGAACTTTAAGAAGACACACGCACATTATTATCGATTGAGTTTTTTTATTATTGGACGTGATTTGTTAATCACTGTACACAGTTGAGCGCTGTTGCTAAAATTTCTTTTGAGTCTTAGTGGAGCACACTTGAACAGCTGCATCAGGTTAATGAAATGGTTTGTAACTTATATATAGCCATAGTGCGATTCATATTTCATTATTCATTTTATTGAAACACAAATAATGTACTTACTTGGCTTTAACTAGTTACTGGGTAAGTTGGTTCCACATTTTCATGGCTCTTACTGTAATGAAGTCTTGAATTTACTATAATAAAGGCTTGAATAATGTTGTTTGCTTTTGCTTGGTGGAGATCACATGAGCCTGCAGAAAGTTTTGGCCATGAGAGTCTTCTTACACATTTGCTGATGCTACATTGCAACCAATAGGGTAATGGGTTTGCAAAAACTAAGTGGTTAGCACTTCCGCTTGGCAGCACTAGAGTTATTGGTTTGTATCCCAACCACAGCACTACCTCCTTTGAATTTTCATGTTGTGCCTGTGGGGGTTTCCTCTTGATACTCCAGTTTCCTTCCACCCTACAAAGACATGCTGGTATGTTGACTGGCTGCTGTCTAAATTGCCCCCTAGTATATGTATGAATGTGAATTAGGAACCTTACATTGTAAGTTCCTTGAGGGAAGGGACTGATGCAGGAAAGTTTTATAGTACAGTTCATAGAAGCCCCAACTAGGAATGATGCTCTGCTGGACCTGAAAAACTCAAACCGTGCAGAGCTTATTACGAATGTCCAAATAAAAGAACATCTGAGTAGCAGTGACCATAACATGACTTCATTTATTGTTAGCTGTAAACAGCAAGCTCATACGGGAAAAATAAAAACGTTCAATTTTAAGAGATCTAATTTTCCAAGGCTGAGAGCTGCTCTCCAAGACTTAGACTGGGAGGGAATATTGGCAGCAATGAACACAACACAGAAATGGGAGTTCTTCAAAAAGACTGTATGTGAACACACTGCAAAATATATTCCCATAGGCAACGAGTTTAACCACTAGCCTACAGGGCACTTATACCCCCTTCCTGCCCAGGCCAATTTCCAGCTCTCAGTGCTGTCACACTTTGAATGACAATTGCGCGGTCATGCAACATTGTACCCATATGAAATTTTTATCATTTTTTTGTAACAGATAGAGCTTTCTTTTGGTGGTATTTAATCACCTCTGGGTTTTTTGATTTTTTCTTAAACAAACCAAAAACCACTGAAAATTTTGAAAAAAAAATTTTTTTTTCTTAGTGTTTGTTAAAAATTTTTGTAAATAAGTGATTTTTCTCCTTCACTGATGTACGCTAAATGAGGCTGTAGTGATGGGCACTGATAAGATGCACTGATGGACACTGATAGGTGGCACTGATGAGGAGGCACTGGTAGGTGGTACTGATGGGCATTGACAGGCATCACTGATGGGCACTGAAAGGCAGCACTGGTATATACAATCAATGTATACCCTTCTTCTTTTTAAACCCTCAAAAAGTCAATACTTTCTCCCTAGAAAGTGCAATAATACATATAAAACCTTTTTGTGAACTACAAAAATAAGTGAAATAAATAAATAAATTGATTTTAAACATATAATATACAATAAAGTCCCACTGATCAAAAAAGTGTCCAAAAAGAAAGTCCAAAGTAGTGTCCACAAATATCCCAAAATTTTTTTCTCTCTTTTCATCCAAAAGGATTGGCTCCTATTTCATCCAAAACGCACCTCGAAGTAAAAAATATAATAATATCTAGTGCGTTACCTTAATAATAATAAAAATAACAATAATCACCCCGTGCAACCAAAATACACTTCAAAAAAAAAAAAAAAATACAAATCCAAATTGTTTTCTTATAGTGCATATAATCACACAAATCGAACTGTAAGCACTCTGCGGCCACTGCAATCCAGTGCGCACCATCAACCAACACAAAGTAATACTAAATACCACTACCCTCTATGAGTATTGAAATGCTTTATTTGAAATGGGATAACTTTTATTCGTCACTTACATTGAAATTTAAAATTATCAGCTCCAGACATGGTTCCAAACTTTTTCTCTCAAACACCATAGAAAACCATGTGTTGAAAACCAACAAAATGGCCGCGGTGACACCCCCGGTCTACGCACGCGCGTCTCAACGTCACTCCCCCAACGCGCCTTGTCACCTCCGGACTCCGTCTGAAGGGATCATGGTTTTCTATGGTGTTTGAGAGAAAAAGTTTGGAACCATGTCTGGAGCTGATAATTTTAAATTTCAATGTAAGTGACGAATAAAAGTTATCCCTATGCTTTGAATACTAGTCCTGAGACCCTTCTTGTCTCTCTGAGGACCTTGGAAAAAACGTCTTTGAAGAGAGTGTGGAGGAATATTTTTCCATAGTGTTTGAGCATTTCAATACTCATAGAGGGTAGTGGTATTTAGTATTACTGTGTGTATGTTGACGGTGCGCACTGGATTGTGGTGGCCGCAGAGTGCTCACAGTTCGATTTGTGTGATTATATGCACTATAAGAAAACAATCTGGATTTGTATTTTTTTTTTTTTTTGCACAAAAGGTTTTTTGAAGTGTATTTTGGTTGCACGGGGTGATTATTGTTATTTTTATTATTAAGGTAATGCACTAGATATTATATTTTTTACTTCGAGGTGCGTTTTGGATGAAATAGGAGCACTGGTATATAGCACTGATAGGCGGCACTGACTGGCACTGTTAGGTGGCACTGATAGGTGACACTGAAGGGCAGCTCAGATGGGCACTGATTTGTAGCATTGATGTGCACTGGTATGCACTGATTTGTGGCATTGTGGCACTGATGGGCACTGTTCAGCTGGCACTGATGGACTCTGACAGGTGGCACTTCTGGGGCCACACTGATCATCAGGGTACACTGATCATCAGTGCCCTGATGATCAGTGTTCATGTCCCCTCCGCGGAAAGCCGATTACCGGCTCTCCTCACGAGCTGTCAGTGTGACAGCTCAAGAGGAGAAAAATGCAGATAACCGGCATTTCCCTGTTTACATGTGATCAGCTGTGATTGGACACAGCTGATCACATGACCGAGCCGACATCTTCAGCTCTTTCTGTGATCGGTGATCCCCTGTGTCCTAGGGACACAGAGCACCGATGATGCATGCTCCCTGAGCCGAGTATGCGCGGTGAGAATGGCAGGACGTCATATGACGTCCTATCAGAACGAGAGAACCACCTTGCGCCCATCATTGGACTATATGGCGGGTGGGAGGTGGTTAAAAAACTAAAAATCAAACCTATGTGGCTTACGGCCAAAGTTAAAAAAGCTATAGATAATAAGAAAAGAGCTTTTATTATTACATATAAAAATCAAGGACCGCAATCATTGTTTAAACATTACAAAGAATATAACAGAATATGGAAAAAGGAAATAAAGGCTGCAAAAATTTTAAATGAACAGATTGGAAAAAATAGCAGGACCAACCCCAAAAAATTCTTCAAATATATTAATAGTAAAAAGGTCAGGTCTGAGCATGTATGTCCTTTACAAAATAATCTAGAGTGGGTGACTGGGGACAAAGAGAAGGCAAATTTAATAATTACCTTCTTCAGCTCTGTATATACAGAGGAGCATGGGGGAGCTCTTGTCCATAATGGGCATGGCATTGACACAGCTCCAGATGATCCACATTGGCTCACAATTGATATGATCCAAAAATATTTAGACAGAATAAAGGTGAATAAAGCACCTGGAGTGGATGGCATACACCCACGGGTCCTTAACCTCTTCAATACAGGGCACTTTTACCCCCTCCTACCCAGGCTCTTACACTTTGAATGACAATTGCACGGTCATACAACACTGTACCAAAACTAAAATTGTATCATTTTCTTCACACAACTAGAGCTTTCTTTTGGTGGTATTTAATCATCATTGGGGTTTTTATTTTTTGCTAAATTAACAATAAAAGATTGAACATTTTTTTTAAAAAAACCCACGTTTTTCTTTGTTTCTGTTATAAAAGTTTGCAAATAAATAATTGTTCTTCATAAATTTTAGCCAAAATGTATTCTGCTACATTTCTTTGGTGAAAAATAACCCAAATTAGGATGTATTTTTTACTTTGTAGGAAAGTTATAGAGTTCACAAACTATGGTAGAGATCTGAATATTGATCAATCCTGAAGTACTGACAGCCAATCTAATTTCTTGAGGTCCAAGAATGTCAGAACAGTACAGATATCCTCAAAATGACCCCTTTTTGCAAAGTAGACAGTCCGACGTACTTCATAAGAGGCATGGCAAGTTTTTTGAAGTTGTATTTTGTCATAATTGTTCGGAAAATGAAAAAATTAAAAAAAATTATTTTCACTATTCTTTTTTTACATACTGTCACCAGTTCAGTACAGCGTCATCATATAACTGGCATGGAGGTGATCAGGGACACTGATTGGTGACAGTACGATAAAAAAAAATGTAATGTTTTTCATTTTTTTATTATTTTTAATTTTTTATTACATTTTTTTCTTTTTTTTTTAAGGTTTTTTTTTCATATTTCACTATGACCAAATAGTACAAAGTTACCATAGTAACATTGTACTACTTTGGGGAAGCGATCAGTATTTTTTTTTTTTTTACACAATTTGCTTATAGCAAAGAACTACTTTGCTATAAGCAAGCATTTACCTGAAAGACATCGATTCATTCAGGGTTTTTTTGTGCTTAGCTGTGATCTGGCCACGGCTAATCACATGACACAGCTGGGCTGTGATTGGCCCAGCTTGTGCATGTGATCGCTGTTAACATTCACAGCTAGACACACTAGTATAAAATGGATGGCATGAATGAAGCCATCCATTGTATACAACTGTCATGTGATCTGCTGTGATTGGTCACAGCAGGTCACATGGTACCGGCTGCGCGGCTCTACAGGCGCGCAAACTGCGCATGCCCGAAAGGACGCCATATGGCGTCCACCCGGAAAGGTGAGGGTTTTTGCTGGCCGCCGTTCGGCCATAGGCCGGGAGGGAAATGGTTACAAAATTGAGCTCTGTGATTTCAAAGCCATTGTTTCTAACTTTTAGGGACTCCCTAATGATTGGCATAGTACCACTGTATTGGCGTAAGGCCAATGTGGTGCCAATATTTATAAAGGGGTCAAAATCTTTACCAAGTAATTATAGACCTGTTAGTTTAACTTCTACAGTTGGGAAGGTACTGGAGAGTTTAATAAAAGACCACATACATGAGTTCTTGCTGGAAAAAAATATTTTAAGCAACAGACAGCATGGATTCATGAAAGACAGAAGTTGTCAAACAAATCTGTTTTTTTTTTTATGAGAAGGTGAGCAAAACCTTGGACAGAGGGTTTTTTTGCCCTCCTCTGGATCAACTGTGGGTGTAGGGTTATAACTTTTTTTTTTTAATGGTTGAACTGGATGTACTTTTGTCTTTTTTCAGCCAGACTATGTAACTATGTGAATGTACAATATATAAAGTACTGTGTACATTGGCGGCACTATATAAATACCTGTAATGAATACTTTGAACATACTTAACTGCCTGTATGAACAACAAACAGCAGCAACTACATTAATGCCTAAAAGCAGGACAAGTGAGCATGAGATTTCTCTGGTAATATCAAGGTTATAGAGAAAGCACGCTCCATGCCAAGTAAAGAGAATTGCCTGCTGGTCCAATTTAGCATATTGTTGGCCAGAAGAGTGGGGAAGTCTTGGGAGGAAGTGGAGGTGGATAATTTTAATCTTAATTATCTGTGAAAAAGAGGAGAAAGAGTAGATTGTGCATCAGATACAGTATCCTTGGAATGAGGCTGGCCTTGTGACTGCTCAAGGATTAATTTAATTCAAAGAGGAATAAATAAATCTCATAGTGCTCACTGCTTTAATTTATTAACCAAAGCAAAAGATACTAAAATTCACAATTTTAAAGACAGAAATCTGGATCTCAGTATACCTCCAGACACAAATGTTACTGAGCATAGATCCCTCTGAGTCCTGTGGTAGTCCCACCCCTAGTGATGATGTAACAATCCCCACCCACAACCTTGGTGTTTCTAGATTTTATCAAGCATTAAGGATCAATCTATATAACCAGCTCAGAGAGATAACAGAAGACACTATAGTGCTCTCTGTACGTAAACATAATTATTAAAAGCAGAACGCTGGGCAAAAACCTCTTTGCATGTACTTGTTGTAATCTCCTACTTTCACTGAATAAGTCAAGAATCTTCTGGTTCTGGTGAGAAAAAAAATTTATGTTAAAATCTATTTGGCGCGTAATAACCCACCAGGGTCACCTCTTGGTCCCAAAGGGTACCCCGGAGGAGCCTATTTATTTTCAAATCAAACCATTAATTCTCTTTGGTTTCCTTTCCATAAGACTAGTGGCTGCTATCCCTCCTATTCCCTGAGCCACTGGTCTTGGCACATCCCTTCTGTAGTTATTTATCCAGGAAGCAGTGATGTAATTCAGCCCCACTTGCAGTGGTGGGCGGACTGAGACTCTCAGACACATTCAACATGTACAGGCCTAGTGTACCTGCCCACTTTCAGTACAATTCCCTGTGGTTGATGGGAACTGTAGTTTCCTTTTACTGCAGAGAGAGGAGAGGATATAATGTAATCCCTGCTGTTATCTTTTGAATTACAGAGATGAAGTCATGAAAATTCAGTAGGTTTTTTGCATAAATGGTAAGGATTTTTAAAATTTTACGGTTTGTTTTGTGAAGGGGGGTGTACTAACGGGTGATATTTTTTGCCTATCCCAGAGATCTTCTTCAATGAATAAAAATATACTTACATGAAGACAGGTCACTTTTATTCTAAATCACACAAGCTGGGGAGCCGCATCCTGGGGCAAGACAAAGTATAGCAGAGGCAAGCACATAAAATCGTCATACTGCTTCATAAGTTATGGAAACATTAGTGGATTGACAGCCCTGTCTGGGCTCTAAAAAGGATATGCACATAAGATCTTTTATTTTAGAGGTCAATCTGATAAGGTGAGAGTGAACCCATAAGAGGTGGTAGTGTTACACCTGAACACCAAACAGAAGAGTTTTTCGCTTGTGGAAGTTCTTCACTATTTGTGGGAATTTATAAAGGACTTATTTATGGACATGTTTGTTTCTTAATACTTACAATTGTTCAACACACACGGTTTCATGTATTTACCTGTTTATGGCACATGTGATATTGATTAGAACAAGAAGGTGTTGAATATACATGACAAATAGCACTTCTGATTTGTGGCACAGTTCAGCACAGAGTTCATTATATTAACAATGCTACACAGGTCATTTTAAGTTAGAGCAAATAGTACCTAAATCTTTTGTTTCTTTTCGGCTGTACATAGGCTCCCAACACTGCTTATTTCTCGTAATAAAGGGGGGGGGGGGGTCTACAGTAAGCAGGCTGACATCACACACAGTGGAGAAGAACTGACTGTGTATTGACTTTGAGCAGCTGCAGACTGACAGCGAGGAGCCTGCTGGCAACTGCTGTCAATCTCTTAGATTGTAAGCTCCAAGGAGCAAGACCCTCCTAATCCTCTTTGTATTGAATTGTATCATTGCTGTGTTGTCTCCCTTTATATTGTAAAGTGCTGAGCAAACTGTTGGTGCTATATAAATCCTGTATAATAATATAATAATAGTCAACTCAGGAGGGCTGGGCAGGGGGCATGGCAAATAAACTGACTATAGAGATACAGGTAAGCAATGTGTTGATATAGCTCCTTGTAACTCCAAGGAAGCAAAGCAGACATGTAAACTCACCATGGCAGCACAGATCTGCTTCCATACTTGGTGTGGTCAGAATGAAATGGATACAAAGGAGAAATGGCAGGATCATCAGGTATTTTACAGCAAATGAAAACCTCAAAACAGCAAGGCTAGATTTAAACAAAAATACAGATAGATATACCTGATTATAACTTTTGGGTAACATTAAGAGCCTCTACAATTAAGCCCTAATGGGTAAAATGCTTTATAGTGGGTGGTCCTCAGGTAGGGAATTGTGGTTTGTACAATACATTAGGCTATTAGTGACCTAATCA